GATCACTGATTGACCAATCAGTTGATCACATGATCGGGACCTCACACACAGAGGTCCTGTACAACGATCGGTGTTTTTTCTGTGTCCAATCAAAAAAAAAACAACCCGCACTCATTTCCACTGTCCTGGAGTTTTCCATTGAAGTCTATAGGACAAAAACACTCAATTCTGCCTGGAAAGTAGCACATGTACTTTTTGGAGCAATAGGCGTTTTACTACGTGCGACAAAAAGGCTCAAATGTAAACAGGGGGCCTTGAAATGAATGGGATTCTCCTTGTTGAGCATTAACCACTTGAGCTCCAGAGGATTTACCCCCCTTAATGACCAGGCCTCTTTTTGCTACTCGGCGCTGCACTAATTCAACTGATAATTGCGCGGTCATGCAATGCTGCACCCAAACGAAATTTACGTCCTTTTTTTCACACAAATAGAGCTTTCTTTCGGTGTAATTTGATCACCTGTGCGCTTTTTATTTTTCACGCTATAAACAAAAAAAAAAGGCCAAAAATTTTGAAAAAAACAATATTTTTTATTTTCAGCTATAAAAAATATATAGTAAACTCAAAGTTGGTTATAAATTTAGGCCAAAATGTATTCTGCTCCATGTTTTTTTGGTAAAAAAGATCCCAATAAGTTATATTGATTGCTTTGTGTGAAAGTTATAGCGTCTACAAACTATGGTATAGATACTGCAATTTACGCCATTTTTCTGCTATACAGCGCTGCGCTAGTTTAATGGACAATTGCGCAGTCATGCAATACGGTACATAAATGAAATTCACATCCTTTTTTTCCCAACAAATTGAGCTTTCTTTTGGTGGTATTTGATCGCCTGTGCGGTTTTTTTTTTTTTGCGCTATAAAAAAAAAAGGCTGACAATTTTGAGGAAAAAAAAAAACAATATTTTGGACTTTTTGCTATAAAACATGTCCAGTAAAAAAAAATGCAAAAATCAAATTTAGTCATAAATTTCTGCCAAAATGCATTTTGCGACATGTCTTTGCTAAAAAAAAAAACCCAATACGTGTAAATTAATTGGTTTACGTGAAAGTTATAGCGTTTACAAATGGCGGGAAAGATACTGGGATTTTTAGGTTTTTTTTATACTAATAATGGCGGGCGATCAGCGAATTATGGCAGCGATCAGGGACTTATGGCAGCGACCAGCGACTTATGGCGGGACTGCGGGACTGCGACGGACATTCTGACATTGGGGGGTACTGACTTGGGGTCACTGACATCCCCAAAAACACTAATACAGTGATCAGTACAAAAAAAAAAACAAAACACTGACACTGTACTAATGGCAATGGGGAGGAAGGGGTTAACTTTATTTTGCAGGGAAGGGTTATAGGAGTGAGGGGAGTGTTTTACTAGGGGGCGGGGGTGTGTACTGTACGGGACAAGGCTGATCGAGAAAGAGAAACTGTTCTTTCTCGATCAGCTCATCCTCGAGCTGACAGGGAAGTGACAGACAGCACAGCTACTGCAGCTGTGCTCTCTGTCACTGTTTGCCGCTGATCGCCGGGACATAGCCGCTAAGGAGCGGCTGTGACCCGGCGACTGACATCTGCGGCGGTGATCCGCGGGACAGACAGGGCGGCGGCGCGCCCCCTATTTGTTTACAAAACACACATTTTAAAACGTGGTTTTTGCCTGCGAGTGCCGCCCTGCCGCCATATATGTACAGTGGCTGGGCGGCATGTAGTTAAAGTGGAAAACGTTTGAAGCGAGAATGAGGTCTAGAAACCTATCGGGCAGCACAGTGGCTAAATGGTTAGCACTTCCACCTGGCAGTACTAGGGTCGTTGGTTCGAATCCCAACCACGGCACCACCTGTGTGGAGTTTGCATGTTCTCCTTGTGCCTGCGTAGGTTTCCTCCTGGTACTCTGGTTTCCTCCCACCACTCCAAAGACATGCTGGTAGGTGAATTGGTTCCTGTCTAAATTGTCTCTAGTATGTATATATGATGTGAATGTGAATGTACAATATATATATGTAAAGCGCTGTGTAAATTGACAGCCCTATATAAGTACCTGAAATAAATAAATATTCCATCTCTTTAATGGATGAAATAGAAAACACAAGCTTTTCACAGAAGTCCAGAAAAGGGTGACCTGCAAACACAGTGATATGTAACCAACAGAATACATCACACCAAGAGAGATTCTTCAGCAGACAGATTCCGCTCCAGTTTTTATCTATTTTTCCACCTCAGTAGTAAGGACGCCCGGAATAATGATCACAGGCAGTCCAATTTACAAAAATTATGCTTTCGAAATCTCTTGATGTCGATTCCGCACCACAGTCCCCAAAACAAGGAGCCCGTGATGTGCCGAACACGGCACAAGCCCTTTTTAACGAAGCATTAGTCGAGAAAACAGGCAGGGTGTATGAGGTCACCTCTCACCATAAGGCGACTTTAATACTGTATCATCTATCTCGATTTCACTGTGTATTATATATCTAATGATATTATTCACATCAGGGTATTAAAAAACATCATTTTATAGTTTACACTGATCAAATTTCACCCGAAAACAGCCTCTTCTCTGAGCAATTTATCGCATGCAAATGAGATGCAAATACGCGAAAGGATCATGGGACAGTGCCCGGGGAGGGTTTTATTGTGCGACAAGAAAACAAAGGCTAGGTCGGCGTGTAACACGTCACGTGTTAGTTGTGCCTTTTGTCACGGAACACATGCTATCATATTACTTCAGAGCATTCCTCATAAAAGCTGCCCGCGAATCTACACGTTCAGAAACAGCACGGATTAACGCGGTGTACATCGGAGGGTGTCGATAAAGTTATTGCAATTTTTTTTAAAAAAAATATTACAACACAAACTGCGCGTGTGCGGAGGGGTGGCCGGGTGACGCGGTTCCGGCGGGCGAGGAAGCGGATTAGGTGAGTGGACTGGGACTTGTATTTGTCGTGATGTTTGTACGGCTGTTGGAGCTTCGTGCTTCAGTGTGTGTACTTCATAGAGGGGGGTGGTGCTGCCGGTATCGGCTCGTCTTCCCCAGACCAGCCTGACCCGTCTAGGTGAACTCTGCTCCCCAGGACTGCCAGCTGGGCGCCTACCTTCTTAGTAAACAGGCTGTAAGTTCATACCTTGTAGCCTCTTCATAGGCTGTATGTTCATGCCTTGTAGCCGTTATAGGCCAGGGGGAATGAATTAGGAAGTCCGGTATCCCAGCCGAGGTCCAAACCTCACTTTTCAAGTGAAAGAAAATAGAACTATCTTACTTTAGGTATCCTCAACAGGCAACCTCTTAGTTCAGTTGTTCCCATCAGAGTACCCCCCCCCATATCAGGTGTCCCCATCAGGGAACCCCTTAAATCAGGTGTCCCCATCAGGGAACCCCTTAAATCAGGTGTCCCCATCAGGGAACCCTTAAATCAGGTGTCCCCATCAGAGTACCCTCATAGATTAGGTGCCCTCATATATCAGATTCCCCCATCATAGTGCTCCCATTTATCAGCTGCCAAAATCACAGTGCCCCCATACATCAGATTTCCCCCATCGGAGTATCCCAATAAATCAGGTTTTCCCCATCAAAGTGTCCCAATACATCAGGTGTCCCTGTCCCGTAGGTTACCTCCCCGTTGGGGAGTGTCCCCGTCCCGTAGGTTACCCCCCCGTTGGGGAGTGTCCCCGTCCCGTAGGTTACCCCCCCCCCCCATTGGGAGTGTCCCCGTCCCGTAGGTTACCCCCCCCCCCATTGGGGGTGTCCCCGTCCCGTAGGTTACCCCCCCCCCCCCCCCCGTTGGGGAGTGTCCCCGTCCCGTAGGTTCCCCCCCCCCCCCCCCCCCCCCCGTTGGGGAGCGTCCCCGTCGCGTAGGTTACCCCCCGTTGGGGAGCGTCCCCGTCGCGTAGGTTACCCCCCGTTGGGGAGCGTCCCCGTCGCGTAGGTTACCCCCCGTTGGGGAGCGTCCCCGTCCCGCGGGTTTCCCCCCGTTGGAGAGCGTCCCCGTCCCGCGGGTTTCCCCCCGTTGGAGAGCGTCCCCGTCCCGCGGGTCTCCCCCATCGAAGTGTCCCAATACATCGGGTGTCCCCGTCCATCAGGTTTCCCCTGTCGGAGTGTCTCCGTCCATCAGGTTTCCCCATCCATCAGATCTTTCTTACCCAGGTTAGTTAAAATAGGTGTTAGGAGGGACAGAAAGCATTTTTAATATTAGTTAGGTGGCACAAGGAACTCCGCTTTAAGGTGGTGAGATATATATTATATATAACATATGTACACACACACACTATATTACCAAAAATATTGGGACATCTGCGTTTACATGCACATGAACATTAATGGCATCCCAGTCTTAGTCCGTAGGCTTCAATATTGAGTTGGCCCACCATTTGCAGCTATAACAGCTTCAACTCTTCTGGGAAGACTGTCCACAAGGTTTAGGAGTGTGTCTATGGGAATGTTTGACCATTCTTCCAGAAGCGCATTTGTGAGGTCAGGCACTGATGTTGGACGAGAAGTCCTGGCTAGCAGTCTCCACTCTAATTCATCCCAAAGGTGTTCTGTTGGGTTGAGGTCAGGACTCTGTATGCCAGTCAAGTTCCTCCACCCCAAACTTGCTCATCTATGTCTTTATGGACCTTTCTTTGTGCACTGGTGTGCAGTCACGTTGGAACAGGAAGGGGCCATCCCCAAACTGTTCCCACAAAGCTGGGAGCATGAAATTGTCCGAAGTGTCTTGGTATGCTGACGCTTAGGAGGTCCCTTTATTGGAACTAAGGGGCGAGCCCAACCCCTAAAAAACAACCCCACACCATCCCCCCTCCACCAAATTTGCACTTGGCGCAATGCATTTAGGCAAATACCGTTCTGCTGGCAACTGCCAAACCCAGACACGTCCATCGGATTGCCAGACAGAGAAGTGTGATTTGTCACTCCAGAAAACATGTTTCTACTGCTCCAGAGTCCAGTGGCGGCATGCTTTACACCACTGTATCTGACACTTTTCATTGCACTTGGTGATTTAAGGCTTGGATGCAGCTGCTTGGCAATGGAAACCCATTCCATAAAGCTCTCTATGCACTGTTGTGCTAATCTGAGGGCCACATGAAATTTGGAGGTCTCTGCAGACAGTTGGCGACTTCTGCGCACTGTGCGCTTCAGCATGCACTGACCCCACTCTATGTGCGCTTCAGCATGCACTGACCCCACTCTGTCACTTTACGTGGCCTACGTGCTGTTGTTCCCAGTTACTCCACTTTGTTATAATACCACTAACAGTTGACCGTCGAATATTGAGTAGCCAGGAAATTTCACAGATTGACTTATTGCACAGGTGGCAACCTATCATGGTACCACGCTTGAATTCACTGAGCTTCTGAGAGCGACCCATTCTTTCACAAATGTTTCTAGAAGCAGTCTGCATGCCTAGGTGCTTGATTTTATACACCTGTGGCCATGGAGGTGATTGGAACACCTAAATCCAATGATTTGGAGGAGCGTCCAAATACTTTTGGCAATATAGTGTGTGTGTGTGTATGTATGTATGTATGTATGTATATATATATATATATATATATATATATATTAGGGGTGCACCGAAATTTCCGTGGCCAAAAACACCCGTTGGCTGATATGAAAAAGCACCGATACAGGTGCCGAAAATAAACCCTGCCGCTGCTGCCCCTTGCAATCGGCCACTGCTTGGTAGTTCTCAGCCTTACCTGAGAAACCACTGAACGATCCCGGCGCTGGGCATAGAGATAAGTGAAGGAAAGATGGCCTCCACTCATCTCTATGTCCTTGGACGAGCGGAGCGACGTCACTTCCGCTTCTGGCGCCTTGTAAACGAGGCCTTTTTTTTTTTTTTTTTTTTTTTAAGGCACTAGATCAATGCTTCTTTTCATCTAATCCTTTACATTGTAGAGGAGAGATATGGGGTCTTATTGACCCCATATCTCTCCATAGAGAGGACCTGTCACTAATTATTTCTACCACAAGGGATGCATGCATTACTTGTGATAGGAGTAAAAGTGATTAAAATTTTTTACAGTGTAAAAAAGTAAAAATGTAAATTACAAAAAAAAAGGTATAAAGTGCCCCTGTCCCCCTGTGCTTGCACGTAGTGGTGAACACATAAGTGGTGAACACATAAAGGTAGGACATGCCCACATATGTAAACGGTGTTCAAACCACGCATGTAAGGTATCGCCACAAACGTCAGAGTGAGAGCAATAATTCTGGCACTAGACCTCCTGTGTAACTTTACACTGGTAACCTATAGAAATTTCTAAAGTGTCACCCATGAAGATTTTTAAGTACCATAGTTTGACGCCATTCCACGAGCATGCACAATTTTAAAGCACTACATGTTTGGTATCTATTTACTCGGTTAAACATCATATTTCATATTTTAGAAAAAAATTGGGGTATATATTATGCTGCTTTTTTTTTAATCATTAAAGTTTATTTTTTTCCAAAAAATATATATTCATTTTTAAAAAACTGTCCATTTTGGTTTCCTGAATTTTCGGTTTCGGCACCAGAATTGTGTGTGTGTAATATACAGACACACACGATGGGTATTATTATTATTATTATTATTATACAGTATTTATAAAGCGCCAATAGTTTGCTCAGCGCTGTACATTACAAAGGGGGACAGAACATGTGACAGAACAATACCAATACAATGCAAAACATGAGGAGATCGAGGGCCCTGCTCTTTCGAGCTTACAATCTAGGAGGGAGGGGGTGGTGGCACAGGAGGAGATAGCTGTGGGGGATGGAGTGGTAGGAAGAGTGGAGGAGGTAGGCAAGTTAGCAGGGGGTGGGGTAGGTTTCCCCTGAAGAGATGGGTTTTCAGGGTGCGCCTAAAGGAGAGGAGAGTAGGTGATAATCTGATGGGTTGGGGCAGGGAGTTCCAGAGGATGGGTGACACCCTGGAGAAGTCCTGGAGGCGGGCATAGGAGGAGGAGACCAGGGAACTAGAGAGAAGGAGGTCTTGTGAGGAGCAGAGTGTGCGTGCTGGGTGGTACTTGGATATTAGGTCAGTGATGTAGTTCGGGGCAGTATGGTGGACAGCTTTGTACGTCAGCGTTAGGATTTTGAATTTGATCCATTGCGCAATCGGAAGCCAGTGGAGGGATTGGCAGAGGGGGGGTGGCGGAGACAGAGCGGTTGGAAAGGTGAATGAGTCTGGCAGCCGTATTCAGGATCGACTGAAGCGGGGATAGCCAGCGGCGAGGGCAGGCCAGTGAGGAGGGAGTTGCAGTAGTCAAGTCGTGATATGATGAGGGAGTGGGGATGAGCTGTTTAGTGGTTTCTGGGGTTAGGAAACGTGCGGATTTTTTGCGATGTTGCGGAGGTGGAGTCTGCACGAGTTTGTTAAAGATTGTACTTGGGGCTGGAAGGATAGGTTGGAGTCCAGAATGACACCCCAGTACTCTGGCCTGCAGGGCGGGTTTGATGGTAGCGTTGTTGGACGTGACGGAGAAATCAATGGGGGGTGGTGTCCGGGCTGGGGGGGAAGACAAGAAACTCGGTTTTGGGAGGGTTCAATTTAAGGAAGTGGAGCGACATCCAGTCTGATATGTCGCTCAGTAGGTGTGTGATTCGGGCTGAGACCAAGGGGGTGAGGTGGGGGGTTGAGAGATAGATTTGTGTGTCGTCGGCATAGAGGTGGTAGTTGAAGCCGGTGAGAGTGTATGAGTTGGCCAAGGGAGGAGGTATAGATGGAGAAGAGAAGGGGCCCGAGGACAGAGCCTGAGGGACCCCAGCAGAGAGGGGGAGTGAGGGGGTGGTGGTAGCATTATAGGTAACGCTGAAGGAGCGTTGTGACAGGTAGGATGAGAGCCAGGAGAGAGCAGAATCTCTGAGGCCGAGGGGAGTGTAGTTTTTTGAGGTGGGAGGAGGGGTGGTCGACGGGGGAAGTCGAAGGCCGCAGGGGAGGTCAAGGAGTAGGGGTGCACTGAATAGTGGCCATTAGCTTTGGCGGTTAGCAGGTCGTTGGAGAGTTTGAGTAAGGCAGTTTCGGTGGAGTGTAGGGGGTGGAAGCCAGACTGTAGGGGATCGAGGAGGTTGTTGTCGTTGAGGTGAGAGCATAGGCGGGTGTAGACTAGGCGCTCGAGGAGTTTAGATGTAAATGGGAGCAGGGAGATGGGTCTGAGGTTGTTTGGGTCATTGGGGTCCAGGGAGGGCTTTTAAGTATGGGGGTGATGTGTGCATGTTTCAGAGGGGAGGGGAAAGAGTGCCTGAGGAGAGGGAGAGATTGAAGATGTGGGTGAGGGAGCGTAGGATGGAGGAGGAGGAAGGTCGTAGGAGTTGTGAGGGGATAGGGTCGAGGGGGCAGGTGGTGAGGCGGGCATCAGAGAGGATCTTGGAGACTTCCTCGATGGTAGTAAGCTCAAAGGTGCGGAGTGTTGGGGGAGCTTCAGTATGAGGAATGTAGGGTGGGTGGGGAAGAGGAGGGTCAGAGCAGTGGTGGGGCCGTGGGAGAGGGGTGATGAGGGGGTAGCTGAGTGAGGGTGAAGGGGGGTTGGAGAGAGTTTGAGCAGCGACCAAGTCCCTGCGGGTTATGTCGAGGGGGAGGGGGGGATAAGGGGGTAGCTGTGTGAGAGGGGACGGGTTGAGAGGGCATGTGAGTTGCGGCAATGTCCTTGCGAATTGTGTCAATCTTGTTTTTGAAGTGATTGGCAATCTCAAGGGCAGTGAGTGAGGTGCTGGGTGGAGGTGGGGGTGGAGAGAGTAGAGAGCTGAAGGCAGAGAAGAGTCGGCGAGGATTGGAGGAGAGGGCCTTGATGAGGGTCAAGAAGTAGGCCTGTTTGGGCAGCATGGAGGGAGGAGGTGTAGGTGCGGAAGGCAGATTTATAGCGGGTGAAGGCTTGTTGGGATTTGGTTTTGCGCCATAGTCGCTCCAGGGCACGACTTTGTCGTTTGAGGGTTTTGGTGTGATCAGTCTGCCAGGGCTGGAGCGGTCGGGGTCTGATGTTTGCGTGTGGTTAAAAGGCGCTAATGAGTCAAGGGCTGTTGAGATCGGAGCGCATTGTTGTAGGCGGTCAAAGCCAAGTCGGGGCAGGACAGGGGGAGGATGCGGTCGTGGAGTTGATCAGCTGCAGAGTGGAGGGAGGCAGGGTTAAGGTTGCGGAGGTTCCGGCTGGTAGTAGTGTGACATTTGGAGGGGTAGGCGTTGGAGAAACGAGGAGATAGAGAAGGGTGATCAGGTTGTGGTCAGAGGAGAGGGAAGGGGTGTTAGTAAGGTTGTGGGGGAGCGCAGTGTTGGAGAAGACAAGGTCCAGGATATTTCCGTCGGAGTGGGTGGTGGATTGTATGTACTGTGCAAGTGCAAAGGAGGAGGTTAGGTGGAGGAGACGGGCTGTGTTTGGTTTGTCGAGGTTGACAGGGATGTTGAAATCCTCAAGGATGATGGTGGGTAGCTCAGAGGAGAGGAAGAAGGGTAGCAGGAGGAGAAGTCATCCAGGAAGCGGGGGTATGGATCCAGGAGGCCGGTATATCACAGCAATCTTCAGGGGGGTTGGGGAAGAATAGTCGGACGCAGTGGGCCTCGAAGGAGGAGAAGGATAGGGAGGGGGGGTTTGGGAGGACTCGGAAGGTGCTCTGCGGTGACAGGAGCAGGCCAACCCCACCACCTTTACGACCGTTGGGCCTGGGTGAGTGGGTCAGGTGAGACCTCCATAGGAGAGTGCAGCAGGGGAGGTAGAGTCAGTGGGCTGGATCCAGGTTTCCGTGATCGCTAGGAGGTTGAGGGAGCGGGAAACAAAGAGGTCGTGGATGGCGGTAAGCTTGTTGCACACCGAACGGGCGTTCAGGAGTGCACGTGAAAATGGGGGGGGAGATTTTAGGGAGCAGGGGGACAGATACTGAGTTGTTGGGGGTTGCAGTAGGACATGGAGGTGGGAGGGTGTTGAGCGGGGTGAGGGAGGTGGAGGGCCAGGATTCGGGGAGATGTCCCCCACGGTTAGGAGGAGGAGGAGGGTGAGAAAGGTGGCATGGGAGCGGGATGTGCAGGAGGGTGAGAAACTCCTAGTGGAGGTGTTGGGGTCAGTGGGAGAGCGGAGTAATAGGAGGAGGTGGTGGGTGCCATAGAGGGGCGAAGGGAGCAGTGAGGACACAATATACAGTTGTTTGGGAGGGGCAGAGGATATAGTGAATGGATTTTGGGAATGGAGGAGAGGAACATGAGAAGGATAGAAAAGAATCACCCCTCTTTAAAAATAATCACATTTTGTGTTGCTTTGCAGCTTGAAATGAATTATTTGTTTTATCCAGCTGTATTTATTCAGTGCAACATCCATGTCAAAGATATAGAGTGCAAAGCAACCAAATGTGATTATTTTATATTTAATCGCTAAATATTTCTCTATACTCACTGTGTGTGTATGTGTATATATAATAAATATACACTTTATTGCCAAAAGTATTGGGACACCCCTCCAAATCATTGGATTCAGGTATTTCCAATCACCTCCATGGCCACAGATGTATAAAATCAAGCACCTAGGCATGCAGACTGCTTCTGCAAATATTTGTGAAAGAATGGGTCACTCTGTCTATTTATGAGCTGCACCAAAAAGAATGGTGTCCTAAGCTCACCACAAACGTTACGATCTGATTGTACACTCTTTTAGAGCTGCCAACAACTACGTAGTTCTAGGGCCTGTCTGATTGCATACATTAGGTAGGTGCCCATATTTTTGGAAAATGTAACGTTGTTCGTATAGTCAAATTGTAATTTACCTGTTGACACTACAGCTCACTGCACATTACAATCTCCTTTTCGATTTACCAACAATGTATGTAGTGCAAGGGCCACCAGACTGGATAAAGATTAAAGGATAAGTTCACCTTTGGGAACATGTTACATGTTCTACCTGTTTTTAGGGTGGAACATGTTACCACTGCTGCAGCCTCTGCTTGATCCTCCGCCTCTAGAGAGAGTGAGCTGGAGAACGTCTCCCTGCACTCGGCCACATCGTTCAGAGTTCTGTGAATGGGGAAAACTACAGCTACTATCAGCCTTTGCAGCTAATGGCTTGTAGTTTTCCATGAACTTCCAGAGCACTGGTGAAAACTATAGGTAGGTAATTGATTCTTCCTGTCATTGTGTAACTGCCTTCCCGTACGAGATACGAGCAGACAGCTTTATACCGGCAGCCTGCAGGAGCCTTGCATTGCACCTGCGATCTGCTGAAGGTGGGTGCAATGCTATACAGAGTCTCAATGAAAAAAAAAAAGAGTAAATGCACATTTCTTACCTGCAAATATATGTTCATTTATATTTTTTTTTTTAAAGTTGAACTTAACCTTTAATTGCATAGCTTAAGTAGGTCCCTATTATATTGGTCTGATAAAGGTTCATACAAAGATTGCATGGTCAGATTTTTACTGTGCATGGTGACCAGCTGTGGCTTGTCAGTGTGATGAGAACTTCCTGTCCCATTCCCAGAACAAAATTAAGTGGGGCTGAGCGCTACTCATCCGTTCATAGACAGCTTTGTGTTCTCTCAATTTTGTTTTTGGATGTTCCCTTCCCGCTGCTGGAACACAGTGCTGTTCAAATATAGGTCGTTTGGACCAAACAAACTAGTTAAAGCAAAGTAAATGTGGAGTTAGGCTTTAAAATGGAAGAATCCTGGAGATAACTTTCTGGTCTCAGGGAACCCCTGCTAATAATTACTATATTGACAGTTCATTGTACATTAGTGTGATTGTCACTGGGGAGGAGTGCTCCTTACATTTGTGGGCAGTGGAAAGAATCCAACCCTTCCCTTACAATTAGCTAAGAAGGAATCACTCAAGGAAGCCCTCTGGAGAAAACCAAGGGTTCCATAATCCCTACTTGAGAAAGGCTGGTCGAAAGTTTCTGGGTAGATGTGATCAGGATCAGTAAGATTTTGTAAACTACCAACTTGGTGTATCTTAGAAGAGAGCAGACTGTAAAGAATAAAGCAAGCAGGATTTTTTTTGTCAGTACAAATCTGAGTCTTGTGTGTACCATATGCTCTTATGCCTCAAATACCTTGTAAAATATGGGCTTTACTTTGTGTAAGGGTAGATTCACAGACAATGCTGTCAGCACATGTCCATCGTAGTTCAATTATGCATGTTGCGGTGCCTTTATAAAGAGACATGGTACTTTGATTTTACTTTTGTTCTTAAGTACACTAAAATGCATACTGCCTCTTTTTTTTTTATTAATCTGAGTTTATTTAATTTTGCAGTTGTAACAAGGATAAAATACAAAAAACAAAGTTGCAATAAAGGAGGGACAAAGGAAAAGGTAAATATATACATGTGGTATGTCAAAGCAGATGTAAAGAGAAGGGTCAGCCATGAGAATATTCTAGTAAAGCTATGTGAAAATATGTTCTTATCCACATAGGTAAATGGACACTCTTCAGCTTGGGGGGGGTGTCTTTTTTTTAATATAGGTTAGAAGGTGGAGTAGAATGATGTAGGCCCTTGCCTGTGGTGGGAGTTCCAATTATAATTTATGGACACACAGTGGTTACTGGCTGGGTGGTGTGTATATTTTAAAGGTGTAGCGTTGAGGGAACAAGGAGGGTAAGTTGGTATATATTGGGTATATTTGGTATATATTTGAGAGGCAAGGATGAAAAGGGGGGGGAAGGGGGGGCTTAGTGGGAAAAAAAGAAAGGTGGTGGTTGGGGAGGGGGGTGAATACAGAGGGTATAATACCCCGGGTGGTAGCAGAGTTCTTGAGAGCCTCAAAACTTGGTTCAGAGGTGTCTTAGATGTTTCATCTGTTTAGTGTGATCCAGGTCTGCAATGCATCTGCCTCTTTTTTTTTCCAGCACACTCTCTAATGCAGCATGTTGGTGTGAACAGACACCATAGAGAACAATGCTTTTTTGCTTTTTGCAAGCATTGGGGTTGTGTTGAGCATGTGGTGAGAGCAGGATCCATGTGCATAGCAAGCTTTTACTAAGTGCTTGCAAAACTTTCAGCATGCTTCCAGCAGCAGTTTTGAAGTTTTTCAGGCTCATTCCATCCTCAGATCTGAGCCATTGTCTGCTGCAGAAGGGGATGCAGACACAGCGGCTGCATAGACAGTCACATGTCAAAATCTGAAATGTGGGCAGGGGTGGGTGCACAGATCTGCACGCAGACACTTCACATACACATCCGTGCAGCTGCATCTGTCCACATGTCAGATTTTTGCATGAGACTGTGTATGTGCATCCATTTCATCTGCTTCCACTTCTGTAGGTTACCTGCACACAGTTCCAAGGTGGATTCATATGCAGCAGACAGCAACTGAGATCGGAGGACAGGTCTGATTGCCCGTCTGAATGAGACTTTAACATTCTAAATGTTGAGCTGAATTTAAATTTTGTGGTCTGCTGAAAGCTTTTCAAATGCTTTGTAAAAGATTGCTCTAATACAAGTTGAAGCTTCTGTGTACAAGGCCAAAGGGCTCTGTCTGCCGTTGTACAAAAGTCAGAGGTCTTCATAAACAAAATATAGCAGAAATAGTAAAGAATCCTAATGAGACATGCAATGCAAATCTCAAGTTCAGAGTCATGTATGAGGAAAGCAGTTCACAGCTGGGAAGAGTTCTTGTGTGAACAGTTACTGTTTATTTGTACAACCACACAGAAATCTGCCCAATGGCAAAAGAAAGGTAATAAGTGAACCAGAACAGAGAGATCACATGATAGACCTGTTACTTCAAGTTCCCTGGCAGCCTGGGTAAATCATTGCTCACATGGTACCTCCGTTCATCAACAAATACTACATGGTAAAGGGCAGTGACAACATCAGAGCTGGATACCAATACAGGGTAATACGGCAAGGTTTAAATGGAGGATGGCATGCCAAATTTGTGCCTTTCTTGTTGCAGCTCTTGACACACACTTGGTTATGGTGGTTACAAAAGTCTATAATGCTAACTTGTCCTGAAAAAAAAAAAACATGGATGTTGTCATTGCTGGCTTTGCTGATTATACTAACGCTAGTTACCTGGTTGTCATGCTGACCCTCTTCAATATTGAATATTCTGAGTCATTAACCTAGAACAAGTATGCAGATAGACTTGTATCTGTTCTATGAGGCCTCATTCACATTTGGTGATTTGGAATAGGCACGATTTCAAATCTTGTTAAAACGTGCAATGTACGTTTGGGTGCCATTATTCTTAATGGCACCCCAAATGTAGTGCGCCTTTGCCACGATTGTCATGCAGCAGAATCCTACACCGCTTATCGCCCAGAATGGAGCAGAAGCTTCTTTTGGGTGACAAACGCCCATAGGGCAGCCCATTGATGTGAAAGGGCTGCCCTATGCACAACACGTGTAAATCGTGCTTTAAAATCGTGAGCGGGAACGCTTGTTCCAGCTACATAAGATTGGAGTGGGGTTTAACTTTCATTTGACTTTTGTTATCAGCATGCATGTTTCAGATCAGTCACTCAAAAGTATTACAGCGGTAGCAATGTCTGTAAAGAAAAGGAAAAAAAAAGTCCACACTAGCATACTAACACATTATGGCATACTTACCTTTAAAAGAAAGTCCTCCAGCAGCACGCTGTCACTGTGTCGACAGGGCTTCCATCTCCACCCAGTCTTCCTTCCAGGTTTGTAGGCTCAAGCTGTATGAATGGCCAAGCCGCGATGATGTCACGACCGTGGCACAGAGCTTTGAAGGTACTTCATGGGTATGCTACCCCTTGAGACCGCATGCATTGGTGACATCACCCCGTGGCACCCCCCCCCCCCCCCCCCCCCCCCCCCCCCCCCCCCCCCGTGTGAATATATCCTAAAAAGTGCAAGTTTAGGAGATATGCACTGTACCTACAGGTATAGGCTTACCTGTAGGTACAAATAAAGAATTGGACTTCACGAAAAGCCTGTAACAGTCAGTATTTTTAGAGGCAGGTCAACAATAACAGCCCTCTTATGTCTTAAGGAAAGTTCCCTTTCAAATGTTTGGCACACTCACCTAAGTATAATCATTTATTGGGGAAGGTGGGGGGTGTAATCCAAGTTAAAGTGGAACTTGAGTCAGAAAATTAAGTCCTGTTAGATCAACTCATGCTGGCCCCTTTTGCAGGTATAGCTATGCAAAACATCGAAGATAAGTGCCTATACTGTTTAAAATCCAGTAATATGCTGTTTCACCCTGCTCTGCACATGCTCAGTTGCTCTCCATTTTTTGGTACTGCTGAAAATCAGAGCACCTAGAGGCCGATCTGTTGACAGTCTAAAGATTTACTGCTGCTCAGAGGCTCTGGACTTCAGCAAAATGGAAGCCTCCAGCAAGAAGAAACAAGAGCAGGGCTGGAGGAACTTTACAGTACGCACTAATTTTCGTAGCATAATTTTTTAATGTGCAGTGTATGTTCCTTGCTAAAGAACATTATCTTTTATCAAGTTGTTATGGGTAAAGTTCTGCTTTAAAAGAAATGCAGTAACGCTACATTAATGGTTCTAGAACACTGCAGGGCAACAGCTACCAAACATGGCTGCAATCACAGTTCTTTTTGAAGGTGGGTTTTCTAGACTCTAATGCAGAATAACTACCGTTACAGTACCCAGCTTTCTGGAGTACCTGGCACTCTTAGAGCTGTGTACTGTCCTCTAACTGCCATGTGAAACATACAGTATTGGACAAAAATATTAAGTGAAGGGATTTGAATGGTGTGACCTCTAGATAAATTAGATGCACGCATATTAAGGTTACAATCATAATTATATTAAGGCATACATCATAAATGTGATTACAATTAATACAGTATATCTCATCAAATTGGCAACAATAATCCCACCCATAAATAGGCTAATTTCAGAGCCCTGATAATGTAATCTGGTAATGCATGTAAAACAGATGAACAATATATGGTTAATGGCTGGATGCTCTGTGGCTATAGCCTCATGAACTTGGCATGGGTGCTGTGGATGTAGTGACTGGAATATAAGATTACATATAGAAAAAGGAAAGGGAACATGGTTAGCCATTTATGGCAGACATGTGAAGAAGTGAAGCAGCCAGCCTAAATACCATTGAACAACAATGAAAGCTGCTCAGTCACAGGGCTGAAATTCTCTTTTGAATAAAGAAATCCTTTCTTCATGGTCACACAATTTAAGATGGAGAGGAGAAACTTACCTGTTGCATATCTGTAAAGTTCATGTGCCATTAACCTCCAAGCTGGCAAAAGGAAGTGCAGTAGCTAGACATGTGCAGAACAAAAAAGTTATATTCTATTAAAATTTTGGAAGACCGCTATATTCTTTCTATTCTATTCTACTCCATCTGTAATAATAATGGAATAATCTATTCCATCTTTTTTTTCTATTCTTTTGTTTTCCATTTTATGCCTTTATTTTCTATTCCATTCTATTGTTTTGTTTTCTATTTATTTGAGGTACTTATATAGCGCCGTCAATTTACGCAGCGCTTTACATATATATATTGTACATTCACATCAGTCCCTAACCCTCAAGGGGTGTACAATCTAAGGTCCCTAGCTTACATTCATACATACACATACTAGAGCCAATTTAGACAGGATCCAATTAACCTACCAGCATGTCTTTGGAGTGTGGGAGGAAACCGGAGTACCCAGAGGAAACCCACGCAGGCACAGGGAGAACATGCAAACTCCAGGCAGGAGGTGCCATGGCTGGGATTCGAACCAACGACCCTAGTACTGCCAGGCGGAAGTGCTAACCATTTAGCCACTGTGTTTTCTATTCTTTTCAAAATTCAAATTTCAGAAAACAGCTATATTCTATTTGAATTTAGGATTTCGAAAGACAGCTATATTCTTTCTGTTCTATTGTAAACTATTCAATTTTTTTTCTATTCTTTTATTTTCTATTATGTTAATTTTTATTCTATTCTTTTATTTCCTATTCTATTTAATTTTTTTTTCTATTTTATTCTTTTATTTTCTATTTTATTCTGTTATTCCAATTTATTCTTTTTAAAATTCGAATTTCAGAAGACGGCTATATTCTAATACACACAGTCTTTGAAGGAAATCAGCAATATGTTTCATTTCAAATTTGTTTTTTATTCATTTTAAAATTCATTTTGGATTCAATTCAAATTTCAGATAATTCATTATTTCAGATTCGTTTAAACTCCTTGCTATTGTAATCTGAAAAATCCAGATACATCCGAATCTCCGGATAACAAAAATTTTGTGTGAATTTCGATTCAAAGGAAAAGAGCCGCACATGTCTACTAGTGGCTGTTTTGCTGCCAGGTTGTTTTCTCAAAGTCTGGTTTAGCGGTTTTGGGTTTTTATTGCT